ATTTGATGAGTTCCCCATCTATCCCCTTGTCCAAATCGTTGATGAAGATGTTGAAGAGCACTGGGCCCAGAACAGAGCCTTGGGGCACCCCACTACACACTTCCCTCCATGTAGATGTGGTTCCATTGAGGACCACTCGCTGAGTACGGCCGGTCAGCCAGCTACGGATCCATCTGGTGGTGATGCTGTCTACCCCACAATTTACCCCATTATCAATGCTGTGACAATGGATGTCAACGCTATGACAACTGAGACTCGGCAGCCATGTTACCTTTGCTTTTAGAGTGCCTTTTACTGTTTTGAAGTTTAGATGTAGAAGGGGGATGGGGTAAATTCTTGAGGGTTTAGTTAGCCATAACAACTGCAGCTGTGTGGGAACTCAAGGACATTGCTTGATAAAGTTTTGGAGGGCTGAGTAGCTGGGAAGGAAAGCCCACGTTTTGCCTTAATTGGAGCATGTGATTTCTGACAGCTTCTTTGGGGTGGGAATTGCAACTTGTTACTTTGTATCTGGGGGGAGGGAATCTCAGTTTTGGGTTCAACTATGTAAGTGCTGATACTTTGTTTCCTGAATAAAATGTTCTTTAAGGAAGAAATATTTGCCTTGAAGTTCTTTTAATTGGTTTCATCTATTGGAACCATGACATAGACATTCCCAGTTGCCACAATCATTCATTGTATGTTTTAGTCTCCACTTCCCTCATCATGCAAAAATGCTATATGTCTCCTGTTCTGCAAGTAATTGCAGTAATAGAAAGCTGATTACATCACTGCTTCATAAATGGGAAGTGAAAATGGCCAGGATTGTCGCTCACTGAATGTGTCCACTTGGCATTGTGGAAATAGTTCCTGCATTCATCAGGGTCTGTAAAGTTGCCATTACATCAATGGCTCTTTCTTAGTAATCGCTCTCTACAAACTCCTCCAGTTTCCTCTATGAAGGAGTAGTGTTGCAATTATGGGGAAAAATATCCCCTCCTTTTTTTAAAGTGTTTCCATTTGCAAGCTGGTATCACTCAAGGAAAAGGAGAAGCAACTGTTCTTCTGGTCAGCATCTTCTCTCTTTTGTAACTTAAGAATCCCAGCTCTTGCATTTTGCAAGCCTGCTGAACTTGTACAAAGTGAAAAGGCTGTTGATCTCTTGCATCCTGAGAAGGCTTGGCTGGTCTTGGTCAAAAGCTTGAGTTCCCCAATGAGACAGAGAGGTTGGTGCAGTTTTCCATAAGACCTTGGGTTGTTTTCCAGTGCATTTATCCAGAGTAGCAGAGCAATGTGGCTTTTAGAAAGAATTGTGATGACAAATTTCATACAATGAAGAATAATAAAATTACAGAGTTGGAAGAGACCTTGGAGGTCTTCTAGTCCAACCGCTTGTTGAACAGGAGAGCCTTTACCATTTCAGACAAAGGGCTGTCTGAAGACTTGAAGAAGGGGCTTTGGTGCCAGGCAATATGGAAATAGAGGGAGGGGGCTTACTTCTACGTAATGTCCATGTGAACCTCAAAGACTCCCAAGGGTGCACCAGAGAATACTATGTAACAGCATTTTGATTTGGGGCTTTTAAAACAATATAAATGTCTTAAGCCAATGAAATGCTTAAGTTTCTTGTTTTAAAACCCTGTCGTAAATTGCAGATTTATTTATTTATTTATTTATTTACATGTAGGTACCAATCAACTCCAGACCAATTCTGGGTGATTATGGGGTACACAGGAACACACCCTTCTCTGCCCCACCACCAACACCCCCAGCTGTTCTCTTGGGCCCTCCGTTGAATAAAATGCTGGTCCTGACCTGCTTTAAAGTCTCTTATTTAAGAATTACCCCAGGAGAGGATGCTGTGCAGAAAAGTGGGATTGAATTTGAGGGTGAACTGAGAAACCTGTGGAGGGGAAGTGCTGAATAAGGCATCCAGAAGGCATCCAGAAAGTCCCCCCTGACTTTTGGGTCCACCTGGGATTGTCTGTGGTATTTTCTATTTTCTTGTACAATAATCACAAGTAAAGCAATCAGTATGCTGGCATGCCTCTGTGATTTCAACACACCTAAGTCTTTGTATCCCTCAAAACAAATCATCCTACTTCAAACTCTGCATAGTTTTATGGGTGGGATTTTTAACTTTGTATTGGGGAATTCTTATATGTGTATCCAGACTTGGTTTCACTCTTGACCATGCCGATATCTTGTAACTAATAAACATGTTCTTTGAGGGATTCACAGGCCTCGGAGTTCTGCTTTATTCATCTCTGTCGGAACCATGACATTATGCATTCAAAGCAGAATAATTTGTCTTGACAGATACAAGGAGTTATATTATTGAAATCACAGACCAGTTCATTAGAGACACTTGTAGTTCCTGTATCTGCTCTGATCTTATCGGTAGCTGATTCCCCAACCAGCAAGGAGGTGGCTGCCCAGAGCCATTCAGGAGAAATGAAAAATAAGAGGACTTATGTAGACAGACCATGATCTTCAGTTAGCACAAGGAGTGTTTCCTCTGGAAGATTTTGCCACAAGCACAAACGCCTGCTTGATAGAGGAACAAAGGGGAATTCTTCTGCTATTTATTTATTTATTTATTTATTTATTTATTTATTTATCTATCTATCTATCTATCTATCTATCTATCTATCTATCTATCTATCTATCTATCTATCTATCTATCTATCTATCTATCTATCTATCTATCTATCTATCTATTTATTTATTTATTTATTTATTTATTGTCCACCTCCAATAAACAGAATGTCGGAGCCCTGGGTGACCCTGTCCACAGACAGTCCTCGACTTACAGCCACAAACAGGACTGGAATTTCAATCGCTAAGCAATGTGGCTGTTAACATAAGTCATTACATGGTTGGACTTGATTTTACAACAGTTTTTACTTCAGTCATTAAACAAATCATGTGATTAACCAAACCAGCTTGCTCAGTTTGAAATCAGCTGGGAAGGTCAAAAATTGCAGTCATATGACTGCAGGACGCTGCAACTATCATAAATACGAACTGGTTGCCAAGCTCCCAAACTGTGCACAAGTGGCCCTGGGGGTGATGCAATGGCCGTAATTCTAAGGACAGGTTGCAAATCACTTTTTCCAAGGCTGTTGTGACTTTGAACTATTATTAAGTGAATGGCTGTATATCAAGGACCACTTGTATCTTGCTGTTCAACGCAGGAACCCAGATATTCCCTGGCTGTTTGTTCCCCAACTAAACCACTCCGACTCTCAAAGACATTTCCTAATATTCTCCCCTTTTCCTATGGTATAAGGCCAGTGTTCCTCCGAGATTTGAGAGAGCAAGCTTAGATATTTCCCTCTCACCTGTCCAGTCTTTCAAAAATGTTGACGTCTCCCCTCAGCTGTCTTATCTCAAGGATAATATCCCAGAGTCTCCAAGCAGTCCTGACCACCAAGGTCTGCCAAAGCTTTCAAGGTGGCATGATTTCACCTGCTGCCTCTTTAATCAGTTCAAGCGCATTGTGTTGGGGGACACTCAGCCTCTTACGAGATTCTTTCAAAAAGTAAATAAATAAGGAAGGAAGGAAGGATAATAAAGCAAAAAGGGGAAAGGAAGTTGTGCTTACTTCACTCCTGGTCTCGAGAGGGACAGCATCTCGCCAGTGGAGAGCAAGAAAGTGGCAAATAATATGGAAAGATGGGTCCAGCTGTGGATTCTGGGCTTGGTGGCCATTGTCCCTGGGAAAGGTGAGTTCAGAAGTGTAACTTTATGGTGCTACTGTCAAGAGGTTCATCTCATGTCTAATCTCAATCTACACCCTTAAATTTCATTCTGTGAGTTCACCTTCTAGGTTTGTTTTTTTTGTCTCTGCATGTAAAGAATGGATTTCCCATGTAAACATCATAAAATATCTCAATACTTGACAGGCAATTTCAGGATTTGCTCTTAAAAGCTGTATCCAGAAATTCTCCAGTTCTACATGAGGAAATGTTTGTAAGGTGAAGTCAATAGACATGTCCATCAGTCATCCCATCTCCCTTAATGGCAGTTCAAAGGCATTAGGAAGTAACCCCCCCCCCAAAAAAAGGTTCTAGGCCAGTCCAGTACTTGGATTGGAGGGGGGAAGTCTTTGCTGACTGTGACACAGAAGTCAGGCAGGTGTGGCATCACCAGGATTTTGATGGAAATTTCTTATGTTAATAAAAACTTGCTGAGATTTGGAAAGCAATCAAGATTGTTTTTAAAAATTTGCTCACTCCAAAGTTGAGTTTTAGTTTAACTTTACTTTGAAGTTTAAAACTTTTAAGTTTATTTTGAAGTTATTTAGTATATTTGTACCTTACAGTGAAATATCAATGCCATTCAGATAAGTCCAATATTACTACAATATCCCACTTTCTGCATTCAACCTAAGTTAAAAGAATCTTCCAATGGGAAAAGTGTGTCTCTTCTTGCGGTTCATAGAATCAAACCAACATTTGTTGGTTTGTTGGCATCTCACTTCAGCAATGAGTTAGGCAGACTCCTTATTTCACAGTAAATATTTTGGTCTTACCTGTATAAAATCCATCATTTTAACTGTCTCGTTGAGTGCAGTTTTGAGTTCTTAAGGGATGCATTTCACTGCAGTTTATGACTGCAAAGACAGCAGGGATTACCCTTAATATGTGGATGGTTTCAGATTGGCTGCCCTCTGGACTGTTAATGATTACATGCACTGAAGGAGGTAGAAGTGCTGCCATTTGAGTTTAAAGGATCGCTGATTTATAGGTTTTCATCTATATTGAAGAAAATTGGAAGTTCCTTTTTTCTATAGCTTTCTTTTGTTGCTTTTGCTTGCGCTTCTTAATTTTGCAGTTACCTCCTTTTCCTTTTTTTTCTAACTCCCTTTCTTTGCTTTTTTGTATTTTATATATTTTTTGAAATTTAATGAAGTTTTGATAAAATACATCTGGAGCCTAATTGTTCCTGCATTGGTGGCCATGAGGCAGCATAAATGCCAAAAGATATCATGGTTTTCCATAACTCAATTAATCAACTTAAATATTTCTGTTCCCATGGCTCTGATAGGAAGAGACTGGCAAATAAGCATATTTGCAACACAGAACTCCTACATAAACTCAATTAAGATGGATAAACTTCAAACATGATTGGATTCATTCATTTGAAGATAGAAGCCAGCTGCACTCTTTTGCTTGTCTCTTTAGTTTCTGTTCACCAAAGTTTTTGATACATTTTGAAATCATGTTAAATAATAAATAAATTATCAGGCAATAATAACAATTTTTGTAGAATTTTGATTAGTCAGGCATTCTATCAAATCTTTTATGCATGCAACTTTTCTGCAACAATATAAGCTTCTGGGAAATCCTTGGTGCTCTCTGAACTTAGTTTTTTGCTTGCAGACGTTTGATTACATAGCTAGCCAACATCTTCAGATAGTGTTACCTAATCAGGTACTGTAATGAAACCAAGGATTCCATAGTTGAATCCTGAACTACATACAGCATATTCTCTTCTATTGATATGAGCTTCTCTTGGTTTTGCTGAGCAATAACTGACTAGATAGGAAGTCCTCTCACACCACAAAAATGTACAAAAGGCCATTTTCTTCTCATCAAGTTCTACAGTTTCTTTTGGAATATTCAGGTGATGTTTAATTTCCAGACATCTTTGTAATTTTGCAATATTCAGACTGATTGCTACCCAATATTTGCTCACATTCAGTACCAACTTTGCATTTCTTGTCCATAAAGTAAAAAAACAAAAACAAAGCAAAAACCAGAGCAAGTGCTCTTCAATTCCATCTCTCAAGAGAGATGAAATTTAAAAATGATTGTTATGTTTCCTCCTTGTCTTTAAAAATGGGAAGTGTGCAGAGAAGAGCAACAAAGAAGATAAAGGGACTGGATGCTAAATTGTATGAGGGAGCTAGGTATGTTTAGCCTACCAAGGAGAAAGATTGGAAGGGGGGGGGGGCATGATAACTGTTTTTCAGTATTTGAGGTGCTGATTCAGAGAAGAGGGGACTATCTTATTCTTTAAAAAACCTGAAGGGAGAACAAGAAGAAATATGTGGAAGCTTGTTAAAGAGAAATCCAACCTAGAAGTAAGAATTTTTCTGACAGTGAGAAAAATTAATCAATGGAGCACCTTACCTCCTGGATTTATGGATGCTCCACCACTAGAGGTTTTCACAAATAGACTGGACAACTATGTGACCAGGATAGAATAAGGTTGGACTAGAAAACCTCTATCATTCTATATCCCAAACCTGTAAGGTCTCTGGATGGAGGAAAAAAGGGTCCTCCTTGCAGCAGTAACACCCACCTCAGTGTCTGCAGATTAGAATCTGAACTAGTTGCTATAATAAAAAAAAGATCACTGAGGAATGAGGACTGTGTTCCTCAGCTGAATCTTTCTTATTATAACAGAATAACAAAAAAAAGACCTTGGAGGTTTTCTAGTCCAACCCCTATTCAAGCAGGACAAATGGCCGTCCAGTCTCTTCTTAAAAGCCTCCAGGAATGGAGCACCCACAACTTCTGGAGGCAGGTTGTTCCACTGGTTAATTGTTCTCACTGACAGGAAATTTCTCCTTAATTCTAGGTTGGATCTCTCTTTGTTATAATTCCATCTGTTACTTCTTGTCCTGAGGTATTTTGGAGAATAAGTAGACCTTCTTTGTGGCAGCCCCTTAAATATTGGAAGATGCTATCATGTTACTCCTAGTCCTTCTTTTCCCTAGACTAGACCTACTCAGTTCCTGCAACCCTTCTTTGTATGTTTTAGCCTCCAGTCCTCTAATCATCACTTCCTTGCATCTTGTTTGTTACTTGCAGATGATAAAGGAAGGCCGTTTGGCTGTGGTTCTTCTTTTGGCTTAAGGGGAAATCAGGGAGAAGCAAAATTTCTTTGGTCTGGGCACAAATCAAAGAATGATCAGACAAATGAAAGGCCCTTTTGGTGACTGAGGCTTTTTCTGCTGCCTTCCTGTTCTCTGAGCCAACAGAATCTCCCTTGCTCTAACCAAGTTCACAATGCAGGAGCCCCCCCCTTCCCCCCGCAATAACTCACTCTGCACCCTGTTCCAGCATCACAGCTTTTTCATTTTTCTCTTCTTGCTTCACAGTTTGATTTAGATCAGGAATAGGTAACCCTTTTCTGCTCAGTAAATGCAGAGGTACTTTTTAGTTTTCATCCTCCGGGGGGTCCACAGGGCATGGTCACAAAAAACAAGATGGTACAACTGAAAACTCCAACTGGCTTTTATGTGATCAAACCATCACATATGCTTTTTGACTCTGAGTGTTGTAAAATTATAACAACAGCAACTGTAAGTGTATCTACTCCTGACTGATTCTTGCAAATAAAGTAGGTTCTGCCAAATGTACAGAAAATGATTGCTGTGGAGGATACAAGTTAGTGGAAGGGCAGCTGATGCTATCTGTGAGATGCAAGAGCTAAAGGAAAATGTGCGGAGAAGGCAATCCTTGCCTGACAAATTTCTTCCCCTTTAGTCTTCAATGAGACAATGAAACAGTCTCTACTCCCCTGCAGCCTTTCTTCTCCTGAGAACGTTGCATTCACCTTCTGGTGTCAGCAGCATCTAAATCTTCTGCTTACATTCCTCCTCCTTCTCCAGCTGCCCTGGATTTGACTGGCATCCACATTGTCAACGGGATCTGGAGAGCTCCGGCCACTTTGCCCTGTGTGTATGAACCCTCCCATGATTTCAAGCAGCTCAAGGTGACTTGGAAGTTCTTCCTGCCAGGCGAAGCTCCTCGTTCCGTCTTGCTGCATGATGCCTACGGGGACCACATCTTCTTGGCTGCATTCAGAGACCGAGTCAACATTGCACAGAAGCCCCCCGGAGATATTTCTCTCCACATCAAGGAACTTGAAATGACTGATATTGGTTCATTCATTTGCTTAGTTGAGTGGGAAGACCAAAACAGGAGCAGAATCACTAGAGAAAAGACCCTCCAGCTCAAGGTGGTAAAAGGTAATCTGAGGTAGAAATGTGTCAGTCTGGCTGCAGGGTGTCCGGAGACCCTCATGCAAAAACCCACAAGGCCTTTTGCTTAATTTTATAGCATTCCATTTTGATTTAGTTATTTCTTTTCTGGCGTGCTCCTTCTCAAGAACTTCAAAGCTATGAGAAGAATTTAGGTGAGAGAAGGATGCATCATAACCACAAATCTGACTCCTCCTCAGAAGCAGAAGCAGCACAGCTTTGCTTTGAATATTCATACTTTTAATTTTCCACTTACAAAGAAAATGGTACTTAGAGTCAGGAAAGACTCTCAGCTTCTCTTTGAATTAATAAGGCCTGGGAGCCATATTTCCCTTTCATTGATGAGCTTGCAATTCCCCCTTTGTTTAGGTCTTAATTGCTACAGGTACTTTGAGAAAGCTTAGCAAGTCTTCTGCTCTCTAGTTCCAGCCTCCAAACCAGTCATTAAAGCCAGCAGACAGGAATCGGTTCTGCCCAGCGGGACCCAGATGAATCTGACCTGCTCGGCCAATGGATCTCTGCCCATCAACTACCGATGGTACAAAGAAGGCCCTGGGGGAGAAGCCGAGGAGCTGTGGAGGGGCGCCGTGCTGGCCTTTGATGACCTGCAGGTGTTGGATTCCGCCAGATACTTCTGCACAGCTGAAAACAGGCTTAATGTACAAAAGGAGCAGAGCATCTCCTTTCAGCTGACAGTGAAAGGTGAGGATGCTTTGGAAATGTCACGTCACGTAAAGGATCGCATTCAGGGTTGGATGGTCCATGGAAAATGTTTTCCTCACACCCACATCTTTATGAAGAGGTCCAGGCTCTTAATTCTGTTTATTAATACAGTACAGGCAATCCTCACAACCATTCATTTAACAACCATTCAAAATTACACCAGAAAAAGCAACTGTCACAGAATGGTCATGTGATCAAAATGTGGGCAGCTGGCAACCAGCATGTAGCTATGATGATTGCAGTGTCTCTGGTGACTTTTCCAAAAGTGCCTGAAAGATAATCCTCTGGTATAGGACTGCCACCATTTCTGTGGTTTGCCAAGAAGAAGGGAAAGTTGGACAGGAAGTAGCTTGTTTGGCTATTAGTCCAATGAAGCATTTACCAGTTACACCAAAACTCATATCTCATATTAGGAGGGTTTTGTATCTCTGAAGATGGGCCATCGTTGAAAGGTCTGAAGGGAAAACAAATCAGTAAGATCAGATTATGAGGTTTTGCAGTCAAATCATAGTGTTTTAATTCTTTCTTCTTCTGGGCGCATTCACATATCCAGGGAAAGGAGGAGATGAATAAACTCAAGATGATGACCACAACCATGCAATTGAAGCCACTGCTTTTTTTGATGACACATGGAACAAAGAAGCCAAGTGTTGATTGTGTGGTTGCAGCCCCTATCTTGAATGTTTACCCCTCTCCTGTAGGCACTCTTGAATCAAGCAGCCATCTTTTGCTAATGAGCGGTATTAATCTTCAGGAAAAGCCTTTACCAAACGGTTCGTTCCCTGAGGGTCTGCCCAAGCACCCCCAGTTCCTGGGAGCCGTGAGGTGGGCAGTAACTCTGCTGCATTTCCCTTCTAGATGCCTCTGAAGTCTCCACTGGAGGACCAAGTGCTGAGTCAGGGGGACACCCAACAGGTGGGGTGCTCAGTGGCCATTGAAATGCAGTGGCTGCATTGGAAGTGTGGGCATGGGAGGCAGAGGGGCCCACTGTCCCTGAAAACCCATGTAGCTGATCTCATGTCATGTGAGGCTTATAAAAGGGGAGGGAGATTTGACCAAGCACCTTGACTCCCAAGGGCACCCCAATTTCTTCTGTCATTCCTGTCTCTGTCTCTGTAAGGGACACTCCCATCTATTTCGGAATGCTCAATTAATCTGCATTTCACATCCCGGCAGAAACAGGGACACCAGTCTGGAACTTTGTAGCAGGAACCTCCAGGAGGCTTGAAGTGACCCACACCAGGACAGGTGAGGGACTACAACCTTTCCCCAGCCTGGTATTTCTATAGCCCCAGTGCCACTGGTGGCCCGCTGGAAATGGGGGTGCTCTTGGTCCTGTACCTGGAAGGTGAGATGGAGCACAGCTGTCCACAGGGATAGGATTAAAAAAAGTCAAGATGGTGGCTACAGTCACGCAATACACACAAAAAGGTGTTGGGCTTTGATGACATGGTTGTGGCTTCCAGCTTGACTTTTCTGAATACCTGGAACAGAGAAAGCCTCGGCACTAGGCACAAGGCACAATGACCTCACGTGTGCCATGGTATCATTGCACAGTGCTATAATTGGCATCATTTGAATGTTGCTTTCATCTTGTATAGCCATCACTTCCTTCCCCTCCCTCCTTGGACACCAGCTTTAGATCAGGGCCTGGCTTTCCACTGAGATTTCTTTAACAAAGTAAAACAAAATAATAATCTCACACAGTGGGTCTTGTCAGCTGATGTTTATTCTGGTCAGGTCATGGTTCCAACAGACAGGGCCAAATAAATCAGAACTCTGAGACTGAAGGCTTCCTCAAAAACATGTTTATTAGATACAAAATATTGGCACGGTCAAAAGTGAAACCAAGTCTGAAATTCCCTCCAAAGAGTTACACTATTACAAAGTCAAACTTCCCACCCCAGTGCTAGGCAAGCAGTTATGTTCCCCAATAGAATAGTTTGGCAGGCTTTCTAACACCCTGCCCAACCTCCTAACATAACCAACAGAATGACCTTGGTTCCTACGGGACACAGAATTGTTTAGACTTATCAAAGATACTCTGCACCCCCTCCCATTCATGTGGCAACTTAGAACAAGCAAGATAGCTGCAGCTAGGTTCACTGTAGAGTTGACAGGTTAATGTAGTTTTGAATTTCCACAGAGATCATTTACAGCAGTGTTTCTCTCAATCTTGGCAACCTGAAGATGGAAGTATTATAACTCCCAGAATTCCCCAGCTAGCAAACCCATCTGAAAGTTGCCCTGGTTGAGAAACACTGAACTAGAGGATGTGGCCTCCAGTAAAGCTGCTTTCCTGGATGGTTCAGGCATTGTAACATCTAATTCATGGATGGGAGTGCTATTTGTGCCCAGCCCAAAACTCAGGTGACCTTACCTGCTTGCAGCTGTCCCCTGAGTTGCTATCTCCCCCAGGGTTGGCAAGAGAAACAGACGAGAAGGCTCCTTAGCCCTGTGGGAAAGTTTATGGTCCTGCAAATCCTTGCCCAGGAGCAGGTGGGGACATGCCCCCTGCTGTTCCTGGGGGCCAGTAATAGCAAAACTGGTCCCCACCCTCAAACAGCCTCCATGGCATGGATTGTGCTGGAAGAAGCAGGGATTCCCCCCCTTCAGGAGTGGAAGTAGAGGCTGCCCCTGTGATGGGTCAGGGGGAGTAGAAGGGGCGTGATCTATTTATGTCCTCCAAATGTCACCTCCAAGGCACCTCCAGTCAGCAATGAATGTGCAGAAGAGCCCATAAGTTGTATGTATGGGCGGACTCTGGCCTCCACTGGCTTCCCTTAGCTAACCCCTAACAGCTCTGGATAGTTCTGTTCACCCACCTCTTGCTTGCAGAGTATGCCATGATGGTGGAGCAGCTACCTCTCTGCCAAAAAAGATCCTTTGCTCTACCCTTGGACCAGACCACCTTTGGGTCTCTGGGGATGGGGGCATCATCTTGGCACTACAGGTGGGGCAGCGGGCACAAAAGCTTCCATTGTGCAGCCTGGATCTCACTGGCTTTAGTTCCTTCCTGCTGACTTGGACTCTCTGGCTTATCTCCCAGATGGAATGGTGACTTCATCCACAGCTTTTGGGAACTCTTCAGGACAACAGAGGAAAAGTAAGAAGACGGAAAAGTTGGGGCCACCTATGTCACTGGAGGTGGGAAGAAGGCAGGCGATGAGTTAGAGCAGTGTTCTGCTAAAGGCGGTCACTTTAGGATGTGTGGACTTCAACTCCCAGAATTCCACACATCTTAAAGTGGTCAGGTTTGAAAAACTCTGCTCTAGAGCACTCTTGATCTACTGCTGGTTATAAGATGTCATGAGCACTTTTGGTGGCAAACTACTACTACAAACATTCCTTCTCCCTCTTCTGTTTGCTGGCCGATGCTCTAAAAGGAAAAGATAAAAAGACATTGACAATTGAAAACTATCCAGGATGCCCTGATGCTCATTATGGGATCTACTTAGTGTTAGATCGCGCAGGCAGTAAGACACGAGTCGAGTGACAGTCAGCTCTTGGTTTATTGGCAAGGCATAAAGTAAATCCGGACTGGCTCTCTGGGCCAGGGGAGCCCTCTTTTATGGGATTCCCCTGGCTTGTAATCACACAATTCCATTGGCTGGCAAGACCCTGTTGCTAGTTAGCCAACCAGCAACTGGCATGAAACTGTATGCAGATGGAGAAGGGCAATCACCCTTAATGGGCGATCAATGGTGAAGGGCAATCATCCTTAATGGGCGATCAATGGTGAAGGGCAATCACCCTTAATGGGTGATCAGGATATGCATAGGGGATTAAGGGGGGGGGAATACAAAGAACACAACACCCCTCCCCTCAAAGTTCTTGCTATCATCCTTGGTGAATAGTGGTTACATAGTCCTTCAGATATGTGGGAGGCCGATGCCCTCGCGCTGATCGGCGGGGAAC